CCCCGCGAAGCCTCGTGTGCGGATTCGAACCCCCCGCACCCGGCGCCGTCTGTCCGCCAGTCAGCCTCCGGGACTCGAAGGTAGCAGACGACGCCCTCCGCCCTCCTCCTCCTCCTCGCTCAAGATGGTGAGTCCGTCGGCGATTCCATTTTTTTTCTTTTTATGTCCAGTAAGAGCCTTTAATCCATTCGTCTTTTGCTGTATTGATGGATTTCGGAAAGGGGATTAATGTAGGCTTATGTCCCGCCCGCTTTTAAGACGAGATAATAAAGGAAAAGGGGTAAAAAATCGTTTTATTTGTCGAAAAACCCGGAATTCCTGTCCCCCCGTCGCCGGCTCCTCGCCCAAGGTCAAGGGACTTTTTCCCCCCCGAAGTCTTCCTCCCTTCCTTCATTAACCCACCTTTAGCGAATTTCCATCGTCCTACACCTCCTCTCCCCGTTGAAAGGCGCTCCGTCGCTCTCCAGGAGGAAATAAATCGATAAACGAGACGAAAAAGAAAGGAATGCCGAGGCCGCTAATGGCTGAAGGTCGCGATAAATAGGAGGAAGAGGCAAAGGGGTGATAAATGGAGGGAGAGACAAATTGATGAATATTTTTCCTGTATCCTTCACTTTCTTCGTTATCTGGTGGTTATTTTTTTGTTCTTGTTCATGAATGGGATTTTTTTGGGGGGGTAATAAATCGGGGTCTAAGCTACATGTAGGCCTATGGATTTGTTTGTTTTTTATGGGATATTTTGGACCTTATGGAAGGAAATTGAAGCTAGTTAATACAGACACCGCTGCTTTGGGGAATGACTCGGTAATCTGTTAATGACATTGTATTCTAGGGTTTTTGATTTATTGATTTTTTTCTCCATGGCTTCCCGAGGTCTTAGGTCGCCGGGGAGTTAGGGAAGTAGCCGTACTTGACCTTGTTTGTTCACCCCGTTCCTTGGTCTTGTCGAGAGAGGAATAATTTCTTATTAATTTCGTACACGCCGCTGGAATTTGTCTTTGGTTGCCAGGACAGTGACGCACTAAGATGGAGGGAAAGGGACACTGACATAGTATAAAGAATAAAAAAATAAATAAATAAATAAAGAGAAATAGAGTAGGAAGGGATACAGGTTTTATTTGTATCGGCCTCTTATTAGCCGAGAAATCCTGAAATTGGCCTCGGCATATCAGAGTCCATATCACCCTCGTAGTCAAAGTTCTTAATATTTGTTTTCTATAAGTTGGCACAAAGTGAGGGAATTGTTGCCGAGAGCGACTCCCTCGAGAGACTAGGTCCCAAAATCAGTATTTTGGGGGTTTTCTTCTTCTACCCAACGACCTTGGGGGATGCGTGGGAAACCAGGGTTTGAAAAAGGGGGGGATGGGGGTTAATTGCTGGCACTGGATGTCATTAGAAACCTGCAGAATTTGAAGAAAGTGATTTATTAAGCGTTAAAAAGTTGATTTTTTGAAAACCCGAGCGCAGTTTTGTCCGCAGAACACAGAATAAAATAGTTCCTGAGTAAACAAGCGCAAAGCCAGGTTCCAAACAATATTATGATAAATGTAGTTACACATAAGTAAACATTGTGTATCTTGCAAACCCAGAAATCCAACCAAAAACGCGATCATTACAGAAATCGGACGTAGAGAAAATGTATAAAGTGGAGCTATAGAAAACAAGACCTTAGGGATACTGGCTGCATGAGGGTATTATGGATGCAGCGGACATTTTCATCATTTCCCAGTAAATATGAGGCCGCTGCAGGTAAACCTGCATCGTTTCCATAAGACAGCAATGTCCATTTGCCTATACCCCCTGTGCATCGCTCTCGGCAACACGAACCCAAAGTGGTAAGAAAGAGGATCTTAGGGTATAAGGAAGGGTTAGTTTTGGAGGATACCCTAGCTTTGGAGTTGCGTCGCTCTCGGTAACAAATACCGGGAGGGTTGATGAGGCAAATGCTATCTTTACCCCAGTATGCGCGGCAAGATAGAGCTAAAGCTTCAGTAGCACTAAGTGGACTAAAGATGCGAGCGTCACTTCACGATATTTTTTCCTTTAGTTGTGTGTGTTACCATTTGTCTCTTCAGATTATTTTTTTGTTATTATTTACCTACATGTAACTAAATTTATTATCCCCCCCCCCCCCCCTAGATCTTTATTTTGCTGAAGATAACTGCATCCATATTGTAAAGATTAACCAAACTAGCTAGCATGGGGCTTAACCCTCCCTATCACAATATTTTAATAGTAGAACCACCATCCTTATACTCAGTTTCCATGTGACATTTTTCAACACCTATTTCCTTCACATATCTAGGCTTAATCCACAGGTGGCACCGTATATTGACAAACCCCATGCCATCAGCTCATCTTGTGGAGTTCATTTTTCACTGTTAGTAGCTACATCATTTGCTTGCTTTTACATCAAAGTGAAGGGAAAATGTATAAAATGGAGCTATGGAAAAGGCAATCTTAAGAACTCAGGACATGCAGAGGCTGTTGGTTATTTCCT